CTGGCCAAAGAGTGAAAACATCTCACAGCAGAGTAATATTTTCCTCTTTGAGCCAGGTCTCATAAGCTCTTGGAGATTTATATCACACCCAAGATAGCTCAGCTAGTTTAGGTGGCATAAAATCAGCAGGATGGCTTCTGCGGTAGTGTTGGAAACAAAAAGGTATAATAAAAGGCAAAATAACAAAACTCTTTGCAGAGAAAAACCCAGCAGCTGTGTTAAATAAAGGACACTAACATCCTAAAAAGGAGCAATAGATAGAAAAAGACAAAGAAAATGAATTTGAAAAGCTGTCACTCCTCAGCAGGAGGAGCCTCTCCATTCTCTTCCTTTCCATGTCTCTTAGCTACGTCCAGTTCATAGAAGGGTTCGTGAGCTCTGCCAACAAATACTTCCTTGCTGGGCACCCCGTGAACTTCTACCTGTTCACAGACTGTCCTGAGAAGACCTCCCACCTTCAGATGGCCCCTGAGAACCACCTGTTTGTCATCCCTGTCCAGCATGACCCCAGGTGGCAGGACATCTCCAGGAGCCGCATGGACATCCTCAGCTCCTACATCCAGAGCCAGTTCCAGCACGAGGTGGATTATCTGTACTCCGTGGATATCAATGTCCAGCTCCTGGCACATATTGGCGTGGAGATCATCGATGCCCTGGTGGCCACCATCAGCTCCTGGCAGGTCACCCCACAGCAGGAGGACAAAGCCTCTGAGACACACCCTGAGTCACAGCCTGCCCTCCCTGAGGGACAAGGGGACTTCCACTACACTGCCAGCTTCTATGGGGGCAGCGTGGCTGAGGTGTACAAGCTGAGCAGAGCCTGCTCTGCAGGGCTGCTGCAGGACAGAGAAAATGGCATTGAGGGTCCCTGGCACCACGAGAGCCACCTCAACAGGTACCTCCTGCAGCACAAACCCACCAGGCTGCTGTCCCCAGAGTACTACTGGGACACAGAGCTGAGCTCCAGCAGCATCCTGGTGAAGAGGATGTGCCCTGTGCACCAGCATGGCCAGAGGCAAGATCCTCAAACACAGAGTGTGAGGCCTTTCTTCTTCTCTGTGTGAAGTTTCCCTCATCTGCTGTTGGGAAGGATGAAAGTTTGACAACAAAGTCCCACAGATGCTTAGCAGAAAGATTTTGGAATGTAGAGTTTGATGAAGGAATAGAGATGGAAGCAAATTTTGATATAGAAGAAAAGAATTGCTGAGCCAATTTTACTGGGTAACCAAGGAGGCAAAGGGTGTGTTAGTTAGAAGGGGTTTTTATGGCTTAGAGCAAAGGATAAACCCACCTCAGACAACAAGATGTTTTTACCAGAAAGAGCAGAAAGAGCACAGGCAAACAAGGCAGCAAATGTTGCAAGTAGAAAAAAGGTCCCAGAATTTTCCACTGCAAGAAAACTGAAAAACAACTTCTAGCTTAAACTGTAATTTACTGACTTTGGAGAACAGTAACATGAATATGGTAATTGCAGTAGCTATGATAGGCTAGAGATAATAGTGAAGGTATACATTGGTCCTGCTGTATAAAGATGACCAGCAAAGAAAAGTATTTAATGCATTGTAACCAAAAGAAAAGTATTTATTGCATTGTAACCAAAAGAAAGGTATATAATGCATTGGAACCTAAACTGAGGGGCTCTGGAGCTGACAGCTGTAGGCACAGCTCTGTCACCCACAACCCTGGACTGCTGGAACATCTTGGATGGAATAAACTGCATTTTGTATACAATAAACTGCATTTTGGATACAATAAACTGCATTTTGGATACAATAAACTATATTTTGAAGAGCCACCTGGAGTCCCATATTTCTCATTTCAGCTCTTACAATCTGCCTCACAATCGTCATGAAAGGGACACAGACTGGGGACCACTGAAGACAAAGGACCCTTGTGTGAAATTCTGGCCCTGCTGGAGAAAGTTGCTTGCCAAGGACCCCGAGGCCTGAGCACATTGCTGAGCTGTTGTTCACTGGTGTGTTTGCTGCATGCTAGGCTGAACCCAGTGAAAAGTTTTATGGGGGAGGCATTTTAATGGTGGTATGTGCTTTATTGCAATTGCATTCCTTAAGAATACAGATTTGAAAACAGAATAAGGAGACAACATCATGCTCAAACCTGGTTTGTCCAAAACTGGGCAGTAAAAGGTTACTGGAAAAGGGCCAGACAAGAGGAATCTGTATTATTTGATGAGTTTTCAGATAAAGATTGGTGTGAACATTCAGCTGAAGCATTCTGGTAAATTGAGTTAATTGGTTACTAATTTACTTAACTAGCTACTTAGGCAAAAGTAATCAAGTAATTTTAGATTAATGGAACAGGACACAGATTTAAAGGTAAGACTCAGAGAAAATAAATTCTGGTATGAACCAGCCCTTTTGAATCACTTCAGAAAGCACAGATGATGCTGGTCCCATGAAATCAGAGTGTTGAATCAGGTGAGGGGGTAAATTAATCTTCATTTTTGCAGCATTTCCCCTCTGTGAGGCTTAATCCTCTGCTGCTATCTGATCTCTCAGTCACTGCTGAACAGGTTTAACCTGTGAAATTTGACCCCTTGGGAGACAGGACAGTGCAGGGCTCCCAGTGCAGAACAAAGACCTGCACAGATTCTACAGCCCCTGGAACATCCTGAGCACTGGAAAATCTCTCTTCTCCATGGAGCTTCCCATCCCAATGCCTCTGGAAACTGGAGTCAGGTTTCCCAGCACCTTCACAGACAGGAGTGAGCTCAGTTGGGTATTCTGAATAAGGACCACCAAATTCTCTGCCTTAGTGGCCCTCATCTTCCCAAGGTAAGAAATTTTAGCTGATCCTTGCACCGTGCAAATTCCTGCCTTTTGCTGGGGTCAAACCTGGCCAGGAAAGAGAGTTAATGGGGGTGGGTGATGGCAAAATATACTGGAACAGCATGAATGGGACAGACTTAGCAGAGTTCTGTACCTGGGCTAGGGCAACACTATGGAGCAGGACAGGTTAGGCCAGAGGAAATGTAATTTTCTATTATTTCCATTCAGCCAAACACCTGGCTGCAAGGGATGGTATAATAGAGGCTGTGCTGAGTTGCTATTTAACTTTTAAGAGAGTATAAAGATTGTGAGATTTGGCCTTACTAGCTTCCCAAATCTAGTCCCATTGGCACTAAGAAATCAGTGTGTGAAGGGTAACAAAGGGTTTAGGCTCCTGGACAAGCTGACACACATCACCATTGTCAGAGCTGGAATGGGTTGTGGATTGTTGGATTAATCCCTTTTCTGACTCAGACATGGGGTAACTGAGAAGTATTTTAAAAGCTTTTATTCAATTTTCAGTCTTGTGTGAAGGGTGAAACAATACAAATGTTATAATTCACGCCATCACAATCAGAAGCCAATATTTCCTAATTTCAATATATTATAAGTGTTTCTTGGCCTATCAGCTTTTACCACACCATGCTGTAAATACCTTGAAGTTAATCATCTAAAATTACCCCTCGTGGGTCTTACTACAGTGCATCTTTCATAGTTCTATTTCTCTGAAGTATTTAGTGTTATTTATAAAACCATCCTTTCAAACTTGTTTCTCTTTCCATTTCTCTCCCAGCAATGTCTGTCCTGTTCCATGGCATTTCTAATTCAGCATTTCTCATCTCCAGGTTCGCACACAGATGCACACACTGTGTGAGCCTTCTGCCAGACATGGAGAATTCCCTACAAATCCATTTCCCCCAGTGCATGCTGTCACTCACTGCTGTGGTATTTCCTACCCCTTTGTACAGGAAGAGCCACAAGGAGCCAGGAATGAGGATGTGCCCAGGTGACACTGAGTGGTTCTGCTTGAAAGGAAGGAACAAAGAACTGGAATAATCTGCCAGGCCAGGGAGTGAGCTGGGGTGGCCCTTGAGGTGTTGTGGGGTCCTCAGGATGAGGTGAGAGATGAGAATTTGACTCCAAGTTCTCAGAAGGCTGATATATTATGTTATGTTATATTATGTTATATTATGTTATAATCATTACATTATATCATCACATTACATTACATTATAATGTATTCCAAAACTACACTAAAGAAAGAGAAAGGAGACATCAGAAGCCAAAACAAGAATGATAATAAAAGCTTGTGACTGACTCCTCAGAGTCTGACACAGCTGGCTGTGATTGGCCATTAATTAAAAACAATTCACATGCTGGGTAAACAATTCTCCAAATCACATTCCAGAGGAGTAAAACATGGAGAAGCTGAGGCTTCTCATCTTGCCAGGAGAAGAAATCCTGGCAAAGGGATTTTTCAGAAAATATCACGGGGACAGTCCCTGAGTTACACTGAGATAATGGGGGAGAAAGAACTCCCAGAACAGAAAGTTACAACAGTGCACAAAGTTTCCATGGCTCCTTGTGGCAATCAGAAAAACAGAAACC